ATAGTATTTTTCTATACTACTGTAATATTTATACGAGTTAGATTTGGTACATTATTATGGTCAAAACAACAGTGTAGGCCTACTTCAACAAAAATACTTTACAGCTACCTTTATCAGTCCATTCAAATGTTTCAAATACATAGACACAATATACATTACAAATACATATTACATTACATTACATACACAAATATAGATTATATTTAACATAAAAGACGATTGGGGATCAACCAGCGTACAAAATGTGCGACGAAGGTGCCTCCTTGATCGTCTCGTTAAGATGACGCAGAATGCGTTCCAAAAGAGTTTTTTTTTTACCCCTACTACACCCTCAAACCCTTCGAAGCTCTCACTTCGAACACCTTAAACCCTTTGAAGGGATTAGGGCATAGGGATGAGCCCTTCCGAATGGAACGCAGGGATCGTCTATGCTCAGAAATGATGAAAAAACACGTGGATCAAAAGCCTGTGGCTCTTCCAGGTTTTAATCCCTGCGTCCTAATGTTCATACTATCAATCCTAAATAGTATGTGAGATTAGAATAAGTGTGTCCCAAAGCATAGTATGTTGAAAAGAGTATGCCAAAAGTCATAAGTATGCCAAAAGTATACCTGAAATAGATGGTCTACTATTTCAGGTAGATTTTTAAAGTGTGGATCCGTGCATACTCTATTGGCTAATATTGCCCACAATCCATTGCGCTTTGGTTAAGGATTCGGTTCAGAACTACAAACACGAATAAAACGCGTTAAAAACTACAAACATGGCGGATGTGCGCGACCGACGGTTAAGTTACTAATAATCAACATTAACCTGGTAAAAATATTTATTTAATGTTATCTGTATTATATTTCATCTGCAACAACAATGTGAACTTTTATAAACATCCGTTTGGCCATTAACTTTTAAATGCATCATCATGCAAAAATATGAGCAGAGTTCTCTGCATAAATACCCATGGCTTGCAGATCAGAGTCCTGCTTCTTTTCTCTCCAATACGGTAGGAATTTAAATTAAATTAAATGTGGAGGATGTTAACTGTGACAAGATGATTGTGACAGGGCAGTTTACAGTGACAGGACGCGACAGAGCGGTCCGTTAAAGACGTGATTACCTACTCTTCTACTACACACTCACAAGTGTGTACTTTTTCCTCACCAAAAGAGTACGTACTTAGGGACGCAGCAAATGTCTGCATTTGAACACAACACATGTGTAGATTGACAGGAGCAGGCCGTTTGTACTGTTAAGCCACGCCTAGTTTCTCACTATTCAGGAGGTGAATTTGCAAATTACGCTAAGCTCATGAATATAAATTAGGTCAATCTGACGTTGTTTGCTAACTGGAGCGGAGAGACACCTAAATAATTAATATTCATGAGTCATATTCCTGGTCTCTCTTTACAGAGACCACGCCCACCTCAACTGTTCAGGGCGTACTTTTAATAAAGCTTCCGCATTTTGAATCATCATGGCAGCCGGTAAAGCGTCCTTGGTGGCGCTTGGACTTCAGTTCTGTGTGAAAAATAAGCTTCTGTTGAATTCAGCGTTGCCTGGTATTGTCAGCTGTATTAAAAGAGGTAAGGGCTTTTAACGACTCTTGAATGACAGGAATGTTTATGTGATAAATGTCATTATATTCGTCTTTCGTCTTTGACACTGACATTCTGACAAGACAAGAACATCTAGTATGTTCGACTCTGGATAAATAAGAGAAATGTTAAATAAATATCGCAAAATGTATTTGTCTCAAGGTATACTTTGCCAGGTTTTCATCTCCCTTTTCTCTTTCGTGGTGTATGTATACTCGCGTAGTCTTCTTTAACTAACGTTACTTTATTTTTATATACTTGACTCTTGTCTTTAATGTATGTCAGTGTGGTTCAACAGCTATTATGATTAAATTGTAATTTCAGTTTGTAGAACAGAATTTACATAAATTATAATTTTTTGTTGATCTAGATGTTTAAAACCAACAAATAAAATCACCACTAGAGAGAACAAGCCTTGTTAAAACTCAACTCTTTATAGTTAGTGAGATATAACCTTTGTGACAACTAGCCCCGGTCTTCCATTACACAGGTGTTAAATAAGAGCAAAGTTGAAAGTGGTCCTTCAGTACTTATATAAATAATCACTGGATAAATAAGAGAAATGTTAAATAAATATCGCGAAATGTATTTGTCTCAAGGTATACTTTGCCAGGTTTTCATCTCCTTTTTCTCTTTCGTGGTGTATATGTACTCTCGTAGTCCTCTTTAACTAACGTTACTTTATTTTTATATACTTGACTCTTGTCTTTAATGTATGTCAGTGTGGTTCAACAGCTATTATGATTAAATTGTAATTTCAGTTTGTAGAACAGAATTTACATAAATTATAATTTTTTGTTGATCTAGATGTTTAAAACCAACAAATAAAATCACCACTAGAGAGAACAAGCCTTGTTAAAACTCAACTCTTTATAGTTAGTGAGATATAACCTTTGTGACAACTAGCCCCGGTCTTCCATTACACAGGTGTTAAATAAGAGCAAAGTTGAAAGTGGTCCTTCAGTACTTATATAAATAATCACTAGAAATAGCAGGTTCATGTTGAATAAAGTGCAATCCCGCTGATCTTGTTCAACACAAGTATTCTTATTCACTCATAAAAACATCAGTCATCTCAATCTCATGAAACTCTTTTCTGTCTTGCAGGTCTTGCCACAAGTGTGTTGTCTCAGACTGTTGAAGTTCCCAGTGCCACAACCTCTCCAAGCCGCAGTTTTGGAGGACCGTTGGAACATTACAACAGTCTCATTCGAGATGGACAGTTACGAGAAGATCTGCAGCAGAGAGCTGCTTTGGAAACACTGGATCAGATGCAAAAGGATATTCGAGGGTACAGCAACGAACACTCAACGCTTTTCTCAAAGGTAAGCCACACAAAATCGTGTGGCCTAAAGCAGCCAAAATATACCCTGCTGATGTTGAAATGCACTTTTAACATATTCAAACTTCTTTTACTTCCACAACAGTTCTTCTCCAAGAGAAAGCCACCGAAAGGTTATTACATATATGGAGATGTTGGTAAGTTCTGTGGCATCATGTTGTGGCTCAGTCAAACTTTGTTGTCTTGTTATAGAAATAAACTGCTCAGTTCTGTTATCAATGCTTATTTTCTAATTTTTTCTCATTCTCTCAGGCACAGGGAAAACTATGGTTATGGACATGTTTTATGATCATGTAGAGACAGCGAAGAAAAAAAGGGTCCATTTTCATGGATTCATGTTGGATGTACATAAACGTAAGTTTGTTATAATTTATGATTATGATTTTTTTCAGATTTGAACAAGATGCTGTAAATATACCGTTTATTGAGGTTTGTGCACTGATAATTCTTAGGTAATTTTTAATTAATTGGCTGATTTATTTATTTTACTGTATTTAACTATTAGTTTAATTGATTTTGTGACAACCTCATAACATTTGGTAAATATTAGACCACCGACACAACACATTTTCTCACCAACAGAAGGTTTGTGCACTGATAATTCTTAGGTTCTGGTAATTTTTAATTAATTGGCTGATTTATTTATTTTACTGTATTTAACTATTAGTTTAATTGATTTTGTGACAACCTCATAACATTTGGTAAATATTAGACCACCGACACAACACATTTTCTCACCAACAGACTATTATTTTTCATTGTTGTCTGAAATGGACACTGTTTGTCTTCAATGTTTTCAAAGCTAAAGCCAGAAATTGGCACAAAATGCATTATTTAACAAAAATGAGTCACTGAAATGAGCCCCAAAATGACTCGTATAGGAATGCAAGTTCTGTATATCAATTATAAACTGATGCCAAAATTAGTAAAGTTAAACAACAAATATAATGTCCGCACACTGATATAACTGCTCCATAAAAAAATGTTTATTGCAATGTTTTGACCAACAGGTCTTCGTCAGGCACGAACGTTTCGACCCATTGCAATAAAGAATTTTTTATGGAGCAGTTATATCAGTGTGTGGACATTATTGTTTTTTGCTTCAGTTTGTCTCCTTTGTCCTGCACCTGAGCCCTGTTTGGGTTTGTGGAATGTGCGCACCTTTTTTGTATTTTTGAAAATTAGTAAAGATGCCATTATTTGCTTTTACTTAGACTCATGTTTATATAGGAATCCATCGGCTCAAGCAAAGTTTGCCCAAGAGAAAAGTGGGTAAAATGGCGAAGGCGTACGATCCTATTGCACCGGTTGCTGAAGAAATCAGCGAGGAGGCCTGCCTTCTGTGTTTTGATGAGTTTCAGGTGAATGTTTTACTTAGTAATTGTGTAGTTGAAATCTAATCAAGCTTTGTGATCGCTTTAGCGTACTGAGATCTGCTTCAGTTATCTTTCAAATCCATGCAGTGACAATCAAAGGGGTCCAGAGAATAATCTGGATTGATTTTTAAGGTTTCTTTTGCTTTCTCTGTTCATTAGGTCACTGACATTGCAGATGCCATGATTCTTAAGCAGCTCTTTGAGAACCTCTTCTTGAATGGGGTTGTAGTTGTAGCCACGTCTAACCGGCCTCCAGATGGTAAGAAGCAATGAATCCAGCTAAGCTAGTCTGAATGTAGTTTTTAATAAACACATTCTTTTGGGTATGGGGGTTTGACTTCTCAGTTGCTTATACGAATTGAGAGATCAACCGACTCTTTGAAAAGCCCAATATTTGCAAAATCATTTCTTCGGTGTGATGCATATGCCATTTTGTATTATGCACCACCAGTGACTGTGCAGCACTTTAAAAAATGATTTTTCAAAGTAAATAACACAAATATTATTGGAGTATGTTTTGCAAGAAAGTACAATGTCAGCCTTTCTATTTAGAAATGTCATGTTTAAAGGGGTCATGACATGAGAAACCAAATTTCCCTTGATCTTTTGACACAGAAGAGGTCTTTGTATGCTTAATACATCCTGCAAGTTTCATAACTTAAAATGTCCTCATCATCAATAAAAAAGCATTTATGTAATAACCCTCAGAAAACGGCTCGTTTTGGATCCGAGGGACAAGGGGACGTCACCTGGGCACAGTCGTTTGCATATGACCGCCTCCAGAGCAAGACAACTACACCTATTTTTGCATCATCGCATCATTGTCACATCCACAGGTGTTCAGTCGATGTACAGCGCATGGGTCTGAAGGATTAGTTGTTTACAATAAGATTGCGATGCCAGGCAGACGATGTGCCGTTCCTGGCTGTGGAAAAACGCTGTTGAAGGATCCAGACGTCTGAGAAAAATGGATTCAGTTTATTTTTAGCGAACGTCCCAGTCACATCAGTGGTAATTTACGCACATGCTCAGTACATTTCACCGTTGACTGTTTTGAGAAAAAATCGCAGTATGATGCTGGCATTGCCAAAATACTTTTGCTCAAAGATCAGGCCATGCCAACTGTTCTGGACCCAACAATGATGCCGCAAACTGTAAGTAACGTATTTCATGTAAAAACTATCTTTAAAATGGTAATGCATAGGCCAATCATAAAAGTGGGCGGTGACACTGACTGACCTCTTAAAGGGAAAACACCCCAAAACCAACTGTTTCAGTCAGAAGATAAGAAATAGGTTGGGTAAGGTCATAAATCACTCAATTTTGAATGTTTTTCGTCCAAAAAAACTTTAGTAATATTATAATTACACCTCAGGGTACATAATAAAATAAAAAATAAAAACATGTCATGACCCCTTTAATTCAATGTGTTACTTGCATTTTCTTTGAGATTTTTATGACATTCACTAGCAATTTCTGAGTGAAAATTGATTTGAAATAAATCATGCACAATTTGTTTTTCAGTGTAGCCATCACACAATGTGCAGTTTCTTTCAGTATCTCTTCGCTTCCAAATTCCAGTTTGTTTGAGCACAATATCTTGTTTTACAGATCTGTACAAAAATGGATTACAGAGGGTGAACTTTGTGCCTTTCATCGCTGTGCTAAAGGTATGCACTTCATCAGCAGGTGTATTATCTAATACACTTAGTGCTGTGTTTATTGGTGTAACGTAGTGTACTTAAAGAAATAGTTCATCCAAAAATGAAATTTTGTTGAAACTTCACTCACCCTCAGGCCGTCCAAGATGTAGATGAGTTTGTTTCTTCATCAGAACAGATTTGGAGAAATGTAGCATTGCATCACTTGCTAACCAATGGATCCTCTGCAGTGAATGGGTGCCGCCAGAATAAGTCCAAACAGCTGAAAAAAAAACATCACAATAATCCACTCCAGTCCATCAGTTATTGTCTTGTGAAATGAAAAGTTTTTTTATTGTGATGTTTTTATCAGCTGTTTGGACTCTCATTCTGACGGCACCCATTCACTGCAGAGCATCCATTGCTGAGCAAGTGGTGTAATGCTACATTTCTCCAAATCTGTTCCCATTAAGAAACAAACTCATCTAAATCTTGGATGGCCTGCAGGTGAGTAAATTTTCAGCTGATTTTTATTTTTGGGTGAACTATTCCTTTAATGCCCTTTTTTTGAACTTTTGGGAATAAGGTCAAAACAATGATAATGCAGGTTAAGTTACTTTCTGTTAGAAGTGCTGCAAATAATGCAGTGGTCAAATGTCTTTTAAATAGGAGTATTGCCAAACACTACGTCTGGATTCTGGAATAGATTATCGGAGAAGAAATCGCCCTGCAGCTGGAAAACTCTTCTACCTGTGAGAAAATCCATGTTTTACAAAATGAGATGCTGCATTAGTTTAGTGATCAACTTTTAAGCAGTTATGCAAGTTGACTACTTTCTTTAATCAAAGACATGCATCTTAGAAAATTTTGAGTTGTGAAATTTCCATTACAAAAAAGAGCTGCAAAAATAATGACAGTATTCAAACAATCCAAACTCGCACTGTTGCTTGGGCAAGTCAGGAAGCGCCATGTTTTGAATATCATTTGAATCGCTCCTGTTGTCTTAAGATGGGGTATTAAAAAGTATTTTAACATCCAAAACATCACATGCTTAGCTTGACAAGTGAATGTTACTGCTTTGACCAAGTATAAATAAATAAAACGATTGTATTATGAAGTGATTAATTATTAATTATTTTTGAATTTAGTTCCAGTGAACCTGATGTTGATGCAACACTCGATAAGCTGTTCGATGAGATGGCCTTCAAACAGAATGACAGTAAGTTGGCTGTAGTGTGTTTGCTAAATTACAAAACACTCTCATTTAATTAGCTGATGGTTTATCAGTAAAAACACCCTAACAAAAGAATTTCTATGGCAGCCCATTAGATGTCATATTGCTACAGATGTGAATGTAGGTTACCATTATGTGTGTGTTATGCATCCAGAATTTTGTGAGTTGAGAATTTAATTGTTTTTTAACTTTATATTTTATGCAAATTTGATCCAGGTTCTTTTTTTTTTTTTTATAATCACAGTTACTCGGCCCAGATCTCTAAAGGTACATGGCAGGATACTGACACTTGCTAAAGCATGTGGGACCATAGCAGACTGCACTTTTGAGGAGCTGTGTGATCGAGTAAGCTTGTGTTTCCCATGTTGTTTCACCATCCTCCATTGAAATGAACTATTGAGTATTGTGTTGTTTTTACTGTTAGCCTGTAGGAGCCAGCGACTACCTGGAGATCTCTGCTGTGTTTGACACAGTTTTCATCCGAAACATTCCTTTGCTCACTTTGAACAAGAAGACGCAAGCCAGACGCTTCATAACTCTCATTGATGCACTATATGAGCACAAGGTAGGTCATGAAGCACTTGTGATTTCTGTTGGAAGGTCTTAAAGGAACCTCTCTCAGTTCGGTGGAATATCTTCACAGGTTCGAGTCGTGCTGCAGGCCGAAGCTCTGTTAGATGAGCTGTTTGTTCATGAACATCACGACCATCACGACCATCACGACACTCATGTTTTATTGGATGATCTGGGCATTTCAAGGGTAATTTACAAACCATTTCCTATTTGAATTCTTTGAGAATTAAATGAGGAACCTGAATGTTGCCTTTGGAATTTTATTATAAAACTGAGAGAAGCCCATGAATTTCTATCTGTCAATTCTTATATATTTCTACTACCATTCAAAAGTTTGGGGTTGGTAAGTTTTTTTTTTATTTTTTTAATTTATATTTTTGTAAGAATGTTTTTGAGAGAAGTTTCTATAGTAAATGTTATTACAATTTAAAATAACTGTTTTCTATTTGAATATATTTTAAAATGTAATTTATTTCTGTGATGCAAAGCTGAATTTTCAGCATCATTACTCCAGTCTTCAGTGTCACATGATCCTTCAGAAATCATTCTAATATGCTGATTTGCTGAAACATTTCTTATTATCAATGTTGAAAACCGTTTTGCTGCTACATTTTTGTGGAATCCATGATACAATTCATGATTGTTTGATGAATAGAAAGTTCAAAAGAATTAACATAAATGACTTCACTGTCACTTTTGATTCATTTAATGCATCCTTGTTGAATAAAAGTATTCATTTCTTTTTGAAAAGTCTTACTGACCCCAAACTTTTGTTGCTCAATAGGATTGGGCAAAATGAGAGTGATGTAATCATTATTGAGAATGTTCTTTTTCGTTATGGTAGGTGGGGTGTGCTTAACTGTCATGAAAATATTGAAAATAAAATACTCCATTAATACTGCAAAATAAAACCTCTTAATGGTCTTAAAAAAAAATAAACTAGTTCACCCAAAAATGAAAATTTGTTGACCCTCAGGTTATCCAATATATAGATGAGTTTGTTTCTTAATGGGAACTGATTTGGAGAAATGTAGCATTCCTTCTCTTGTTCTCCAATGGATGCTCTGCAGTGAATGGGTGCCGTCAGAATGAGAGTCCAAACAGCTGATAAAAGCATCACAATAATCCACACCACTCCAGTCCATCAATTCTTGTGAAGCCAAAAACTTTTGTAAGAAAAAAAAAATCCATCAAGACATTTTTAACTTCAATCTGTTGCTTCTGGCTAAAATAGTCTATAATCCATAATATTGCTTTCTCTATTGAAAACAAACTTCTCTGCATCTTGGCTGACCTGAGGTTGAGCAGGTTTTAGCCAATTTTAATTTTTGGGTGAACTGTTCCTTTAACAAATTTTTAGATTTTTAACCTTGATGTGATGATCTCTTCACATTGATGGGCGGCAGTGATTTGATTTTCTCTTTTAATGCATCAGGATGCAGGCAGCTCACTGGCGATCTTTACAGGAGAAGAGGAGGTGTTTGCCTTCCAGAGGACAGTATCTCGCCTTACCGAGATGCAAACAGAGGAGTACTGGGTTGCAGGAGATCGGAGCTCTAAGTAGCTTTTATCATTACTAACTCCATATACAGCAGCCATCTCAACTATCATAAGACTCAGCCTCTCATGAGGTCTTGGGATCAACTCCATTTTGATTTGGTGATGACTGTATTTTAATCAGAACTGTATGGCATAGTGCTGCACTTTATAAACGCACATGCAAATATGACTAGCCTCTTTTTGAGGTTTGGTCTTGAAAGATGGGCAGGTTTGTTGAAAATATTTGGATGTGGATCTGCTAAAGATATGTTTTGAAATCAGGCTGCCTTTCTGATTATAAAAATGGAATTTGTGGAATATTTTATTGACAACCTATATTTGTCAGACAGCTGATATGCAACCTATTTAAGATCGTTTGCATTAAAATGATCTTTTATTGATGTCTGATTATTCTGAAGCTTTCTCTAGTGCTTCTGTTTCAGGTCTGTGATGTTTGCCGGTAGGTTTATGTGGTTTATTCATCATTATTTGTGTCCATAACATAAAGTGAGAATAATAGTCATGTATATTTAGGTCTAATGAAGGTCTAACGAAGGAGACATGGTCGGACCTTTGCTGTGAGGACCTGAGAGAGGTGCTCTCGTTGGAAGTACTTGCTAAGTCAAGCTCATACTTAGGATTAGGGATATGAGCAAACCCCAAATTTTAAGTAAAACATTTTGGTGTGTATCTTGACTGTAGCACACATTGTGCATGAATGATGCCTCAAATTGGGTGATTTGTTGAAGAAAAGAGTGCAATCACAATCACTTTTGACTCGGCACTCTACAGCACCCTAGCAACTGAATAGCTATAACTTTGCAGGGAGTCATTTCTTCTCATTACTGTAATTCACCAAGTTACTTTTATTTAATATTCCTATTATTTTAAAAGATGTTCTCTTTAATTTAAAAGTCAAACAGTTCTACTAAAAAAATAAGAGAATGAGTAAGACTTCAAAAATATATAAAAATCATGCCATAGCCGGAAGAAAGCCATTTTATTTAGCATGAAACGAGTCACAAATTTTTTTTTAATAATAATACATTAATAGTGCTGTAATACAGTTAATTTAATAATAATTATAATATGAATAAAATGTAAGATATTTAATTTGATATGTAATTTTAATTAAATAGTTTGTGTATATATTAAAAATATAGTTTTATATATATTTATATTTAAGTAATGCTTGATTTTCATGAAATGAATGATACATATAAGTACTCTTAATGGTTTTAAAACCATTTCATTTTTAATGCACAAGGTAATTTTTTCCTTTTGCTTTCGAAATGTGAGATTTGCTGTTTTCTTTGAGATTCCCCAGTCGCATTTTCTTCAGAGAACGCAAACGTGTGGATACATTCTATTGCAAGGCACTTAGTCTGTCTAGAAGCCATTTGTTCGAGAGAGTGTATAAAATAAGAGCTCTTGCGATGGCATATCTGTGTAATGTGCAGATGGCGTGTGTGTGATATTGGAGGTTGAGCTCCAGTTCTGCTCTCCGGCCCTTTAAGAAGCAGTTCCTCCGACTGGTTCCAGGGGGCGGAAGATCTTTGTGTTGCTGTTCTTCTCTGTAGTTTGCGGCAGCGCATTAGGGGCTTTGGCAGTGCTGGATCGCCCGGGTTGCGGGACGCAACGTCCTGCTCCGACATGGAACGGGGCTCATGGAGGCTTATTGGGAAAAATCGTGTGTGTGTTGTTAGGACTCATATTTGCTGATTTGCAGAGGGTCGGCTGTGGAGGTATGGCTTGATCGTTTGAGAACACTTTCGCGCACGTATATAGCCCTTCTGGTCGCTTTAAATCAGCGATTTTAAAAGGCGGGAGCTGCGTTCCGAAACAATGTAACATTCGCATTATGATGTAATGTTACAATCGCAGCGCGACGTCATGCAACAATTGAACAAATTCGCTTATGCTTTTGAACCATGGAAGCTCATTAAACGAGTCGAATAGGGGCATTTTTTGCTCGTTTTGTCGTTTATTTAATGCTTAAAACTAACCAAATCGAGCGAGATTAATAAACGAACCCTTCTGTCTGCTGGAAGTGGCCATGAACGCATTTGTAAATATTCCTAAACATCTCACGACATCAATTCGATTCCCTAAGAGTCCCGCATTGAAATGTGGACTCTAGAAGTGACCCATTAATGGCATGCACGAGGCCAGTGCTGCTGCCGTGTTCAGAAAAGCCGTCCATACATCATTCATTTGAAGGAGTCGAGGAAATATGGCAGAGGAGATAGATAAGCCCTTGGATGTGGACGTTGACATAGACCCTGATTTCGAGCCCCAAAAAAGGCCCAGGTCCTGCACCTGGCCTCTGCCCAGACCGGAGTCCAGTGCCGGGAAAGCAGAACCAGCAGAGGTGGGAATCATTCCTGAGGAAGAGGTGGATGAAAATGGCACTGATGATGCTTGTGCATCTAGTGGCATTACAGGCGCATCAAAGTTTGTCAGTGTGATAGAAGGAAACCAGGCTGTTGCTGCTGCTCCTGCCATAGAAACCAATGCTGCTGTCAGTGACAAAGACACCTACGGCTCTCCTGTATCTTCCCAACATGCTCTGCTCGCATGCAACGACTCCAGCATCAACGGTCTGACTCCTCAGCAGCCCAGAAAATCCTCTGCCCGCAGGAACGCCTGGGGAAACTATTCCTATGCGGACCTCATCACTCAAGCCATCGAGAGCTCAGCCGAGAAACGGCTGACATTGGCCCAGATTTATGATTGGATGGTCCGAAATGTGCCATACTTCAAGGACAAAGGTGACAGCAACAGCTCTGCAGGATGGAAGGTACGTCAGGTCAAAGAGACGGGCTGGTTTTTAACCTTATCTTGCTTTAAGTGCATGTCAGGACTGTTTATGTTCTCAAAATCCATTTGTTGCAGCTAATAGGGTGCATTTCAAGTTAATTGGGACATCTCGATGGCAAAAAGTGTCCCAATTTACCAGAATTCACCCCTATGCTTATATTCTTACAGGGTGGTACAAAGATGCTGGAAACGTGGACAATTACAGTAGTCGTGTGGTTTGCTGATAAAGTGCATGCTGTTGTGGTCATGCCAAAGGGCGTTACAGCAGATAAATTGAGGAAGGTGCCCCTGATAAAGAGCTTTTAAATGGCTGCTGCTTTCCCCATAATTTCAACAAGTACTGAAGTGTGATCAAAAGAATGAGACATGGCAATATCTATAACATGTTCACTAATCATTCTTTGTATGATCAATAGGATTGCACCTTTTTTCACGAAAATAAACTCCAAAAATATAGGGCTTATGCTATGCTCACTTTCTAGGCAAAAAGTGTCCCAATTTACCAGAATTCACCCCTATAGGTGCTTATATTCTTACAGGGTGCTACAAAGATGCTGGAAACGTGGACAACTACAGTAGTTGTGTGGTTTGCTGATAAAGTGCATGCTGTTGTGGTCATGCCAAAGGGCGTTACAGCAGATAAATTGAGGAAGGTGCCCCTGATAAAGAGCTTTTAAATGGCTGCTGCTTTCCCCATAATTTCAACAAGTACTGAAGTGTGATCAAAAGAATGAGACATGGCAATATCTATAACATGTTCACTAATCATTCTTTGTATGATCAATAGGATTGCACCTTTTTTCACGAAAATAAACTCCAAAAATATAGGGCTTATGCTATGCTCACTTTCTATCATCCCCGTTTGATTTGAGGGATTAGCTCGGCCTGGAAAAGCAATTGATCCAACATGGAATCAAGTCTAATGAATGCTCTTGGTATAGCTGGATTTGAATTTGAGAAAAACCTCGGGAAATCCATGTGCAATCCTGCAGATGTAGGGCTGTTGTGCAGATATTACATTTAAAAAGATGATTTGGCACCTTCACAAACAAGCCATTTTTTAAAATGATTTTTCATTATTTTATTATTATTTGATTAAAATATAATTGAATTTTCTAATTTTAGAAATGAAATTATATATTGTAAAATTAGTTGTATTTAATATTTACACAATATGCATAATTTATTTGAATAACCTTTGCCATTTTTGCATAATCATTTAAGAGCCAATGTATATTTTATACATCATAATGATAGCAGTCCATAGTAACATGTAGGTTAGTTGCCAAATTGAATGTTTAAATCCTGTCTATTTGCTAAAACAGACATATTGGTGATTCTGTTAAAAAGGTCCAAGCAGATTGTAGGAACAGTCAGCTGTACCCAGTGTAGATAAAGCCATCCTGCAGAGTGTTTGCATCTGCCTGCCACTGAACCAGGAAAAAAAGAGAAACCACAGGCATATCGTCAGTGTCAGGGTTGCTATTGGCGGTTTCGTCCCCACCTCCACTTCTTATTGGCTCTCGGCTACAGCATAAAAAGCAATCAGCTGACTGGAAACTATGTAGGTCAGTGTGTAGCAACGTGTGAAGAGCTTTGGTGTTTGACTCTGAGAGACAGCATTGTGTGTAAACTGGCGGCTCTCCAGTGCTGTTCTGAGTGGTGCTTTGCTCAAAAGGGACTGCATCATGGCTTTCAGATGATTTCAGCCCCTCTTTTCCTCTATTATAGTTATTTTTCGTGGTCCTGTATAGATTTAAGTACAGAATCTTTAAAATGATTTTCAGTGCTACATTCACATAATCTGACACTCTAGTTCAGTGTTTCCCAACCTTTTTTTAGTCGCGGCACCCTTTGGAAATTTTAACAAACTTGTGGCACCCTACAAAATTAATTTTGTCACAATATTTGAATTTCTAACTTCGATATGATCATTTGAAAAATTAATGCAGTAGGTTACAAATGCAAATTTTACAAAGGGGTAAATCTCATGAAACCTGTCAAGATTTTAGATTCAAAAACATTAGGATATAATAAACATCTAGAATGTATGTGAAGTATGCTCTTCAGTTGTAATTGTAATTGCAGGAAAATCAAACATGGATAAATTAAATATTCTAACTGATTTGAACACTGATTCAATTTGTCATTGAAGATACTGCTCTTATTCCAAGTCTAGTTGGTAATGATCTGTTTTGTAATCAATGTAGCTATGAATGTCAACAAACAATCTGATGGATGTCTTGGATTAGATTCTCAATCCAATCAATTCAGTTTAACAAAGCAAAAAAAGGAAAACTGCTTACGTACTTTAAGAATGAGTTGGGAAACATGTTCTTCTTAGAGAGGAGAAAGTTCTGTCTTAGATTAAATCCAGTAGTAGACCTGAAGAAAAGGCATTAATGGAAGTGAAGTGTTATGAGGTCGGCCCATTCACTCTTTGAGAGGTTCAGAGTTTGGTAAGGAGATGTTCATGGACGGTGATGAGCAGAGTCCAGCTTACTTCAAGATGTAGCAGGCACTGCATTTGATAAATTCACACCATTTTTAGACTGTCTGCTTGACTATTCATCAAAGAGGAACATGTCTTGCTTGTGAATTTTATCACATCCCCTTATGCTGCATTATGGATTGCTGTACCTTCTGTTCTGCAGTCCACATTAATGCAGCTTCACTGCACTGCACTCTTAAACTTTTTACATGATTGCGGATTTCTCCATGAATCATTCAGCTTTCTCTGCAGTAGGAGACATTTTAGATTGTTCATAGCTGACTAGTATTGTGGTGTATTACTACCTTGAGAAAATCCTGGTCACCAAATGTGATGTTTCTTAGTGATTGCACTGGTGTGTCTACAGAATTGCCTGTTTTCTGTTGCAAATGCCAAAAGCCAAACACTCAAAGTTACCCGGTTGAATTGCACAGCGCAGACCAATTATCTGCACAGCCCAACGGACAGCATAGAGTTGGTTATTTACTTGTAGATTGGTCTTGACCAGAGAGACCAGACCAATTTGAACAGTGTGCGTGAAATTCAAATGAGAACAGTCCTTTTTCTATTTTCTATAAAGCTGCTTTAGAAGAGTGTATTCATTAAAAGTAAACGAGAAGTATATGAATGTTTTAGGCATGTCTTATGATGCACAGCTCATTATCTACTCCTCTCTTTTTACAGAACTCAATACGACATAACCTGTCACTCCACAGTCGCTTTGTCCGGGTCCAGAATGAAGGAACAGGAAAGAGTTCGTGGTGGATGGTCAACCCTGATGGCGGAAAAGGGGGAAAAGCTCCACGGAGACGTGCTGTTTCCATGGACAACAGTAATAAGCTCATCAAGAGCGCCCGTGGCCGTGCCGCAAAGAAAAAGGCCGCTCTTCAGGCCACTCAGGACGGAAGCTCTGAGAGTTCCTCCAGCCTGTCCAAATGGACTGGCAGCCCGACCTCCCGCAGTAGCGACGAACTCGACGCTTGGACGGATTTCCGTTCCCGCACTAATTCTAATGCAAGCACCCTAAGCGGACGCCTTTCCCCAATTCTGGCCAACCTCGAGGTGGATGAAGTTCCCGATGACGACTCCCCCCTGTCGCCCATGCTGTACTCGAGCCCTAGTAGTATGTCTCCGTCCACTGGACTAATAGAACTACCCCGTCTAGCTGATCTTGCAGGAACCATGAACCTCAACGACGGCCTCTCCGACAACCTAATGGATGACCTTCTAGATAACATCAGCCTGACAGCTTCCCAGTCTCCGGGTCAAGACGAGAGTGGGGCCAACCTACAGGGAAGCCCTGTGTTTACCTTCAGCTGCTCTGGGAGCAGTCTGGCAATTCCCTCTGGCAGCTATGGCACCAACTCCATGTTTAGCCCTCCATCCGTCACTGGCCTGAGGCAGTCTCCAATGCAAACGATCCAGGAAAACAAGCAGGCAACGTTCTCCTGCAGTTCCCTCTTTAGTGATCAGAGTCTGCAGGATTTGCTCAGCTCAGAGTCCAACAGTCACAGCGATGTCCTTCTTACCCAATCCGATCCGCTTATGTCACAAGCCAGTGCCTCCCTTTCCTCCCAGAATGCCCGTCGTAGTGCCCTGTTGCTACGTAATGACCCTATGATGTCCAATCAGGCTGGGCCTGTAGGACAACTGGGGCTCAAGAAGGTGTCGCCATCTGGATGGCGGATGAACTGTGTCTTGAGCAGCGAGTCAGACTACCAAAGCTTGATGAAGCAACATCTCCAACAGTCTCCCTTCAGAAGCACATCTATGCAGCTCAACTCCTCCGATTCATTGTTGGCAGGTCTCAACGGCAGCGTGACCTCCGTTCAGTCGGTGTCTCAGGACCAATTCCCATCTGACTTGGATCTCGAGGCATTAAGTGGCAGTTTCGATTGTGACATGGATGCCATCACCCGCAATGACCTGATGGATGCTGAGGGCCTGGAGTTTAGCTTCGATTCGCATCTCATCTCCACTCAGAATGCTAACCTGACATCAGGGAGCTTCTCCAGTACCAAACAAACCTCCTCCCAAAGCTGGGTACCAGGTTGATCCAGCCAGGCCCAGGAATGTAGGGATGGTGCAGAACACTGCATTTGAGCCAACTGTCCACTGTAAAGTAACTGTACATTATGCTGTAGAAAAGCTATTTGACATCTGTTGGAATGAGTTTGTCAACGTCAATGATTTACCCAGCCGGTGTTGTAGTTTTGTGGCTGTATGTTTTGTATTGTCATGATTGAGGCTGGTTTGATGGACGTTGTGAAGAGTTTCAACAAATTTAACCTTGAAGTGCTTGCAGGTTAATCTAAACACCAATGACAAGATATTGAACTCGGCTGCTGGAATACGGTAAGTGGAGTACCGTAGAGAGAAAGTTGTTTATATATAAAGGCTTGGCCAACAGTACTTCCCTTAGTCCATCTAGAATACAAAATCTGAAAGCATTTGGGAATGTGAAAAGAGTCGGGTCAGTTTGAAAACCAATCAAATAACTTGAATACTCATTAGTAAACTGGTCCCTACGACAAGTGGAGCAACGTGGAGAGACGGTTGTCTATATGTAGGCTTGGGCAGCTGTACTTCCCTTAGTCCACCCAGAATACAAAATCCCCAAAACCCACTATTGCGTACAAGGGTGCCTACACACTAGAGAAAGCTCTTTCAAAATCATTTGGGAGTGTGGAAAGAGTCAGTTTGAAGACCAAGTGAGAATCTTGAGTTCTCGTTGGTTAACGGGTACCTACGACAAGTGGAGGATCGTAGAGAGAAGCTTGTCTATATATGAAGGCTTGGACAACTGAACTTCCCTTAGTTAATCTAGAATACAAAATTTCCAAAACTCACCACTACGTACAAGGGTGCCTACAAACTAGAGAAGGCTCCCATGAAAGCAATTGGGAATGTGGAAAGAGTCGTTCAGTCAGAAAACCAACTGAGAATCTTGAATTCTCACTGATCAACTGGTACCTACAACAAGTGGAGGGTCATAGAGGGAAGGTTGTCAGTATATGAAGTCTTGGGCAACTGAACCTCCCTTAGTCCATCTAGAAAACCCACCACTACGTATGAAGGTGCCAACACAGTAAGAATCACTTATGAAAGCATTTGGGAGTGTGGAAAAATTTTGGGTCAGTTTGAAAACCAAGTAAGAATTGTGAATTAGTCAACTGGTACCTACGGCAGTTTGCACTGCAGAGAAATGTAAAATATTCTCATTTTTTGGTAGTGTCACCCTTGAATTTTCGTCTATGTTGTTGTGATACTTTATCCCCATTGAAATCAAGTCAAGTGTAGTCTATAGGTGCCCTTAGTTTGTTGTAGTTTCTTGTAACCGTGATCAAGATGAATAAACTTCTAGTCCTTGAAACAAACACTTGCCTTTTGCCAAACTAGTCCTCGGGACAATTGCAGCAATGGCCTGATTACAACACAAACTCTTGAGAAGGTTTCTTTTGTCCGAAAAATGGCCATGAAAAATCCATCTCTTTCTCCAATTATTTTTTTTTTGTGTGAAGCTGAAAAAAGGGAAGAGGTTGTGTTTTTGTGAAAACTGAACAATATATCCTTGACTCCTTTTATGGAAAAGTGAACTATGATATGATGATAAGCTATATATTTAGTGTTCTGCTGTATGAAACTAGCTTGTCAGTGTTTCCTATGGATTTCCTAACAAACACAACCTGTGCATTTATCTTGCTCCGAGTTCTTGAACACAAGCATCTCCGTCACCTCTAAACCACGTTCACTTCCGAAGTCAACCATTTTAGAATAGACTATGAGCTATATATTTGTATTTCTGTATGTATACACACACACACACACACACACACACACACACATACATAGGACCTCATTCATGAAGTCATGGCTGTATAAATTGTTTGTAAAATCAATGGTTTTTTGAACAATTTACACCTGTAAATAGTTCTTAAATAGTTGCATTCAATGCCATTTAGTGTTTGTGTGCATTTACTGTACATTGACATGCATGCAACCATTTACCTAAAAATGGGTTTACAAATTTCTCTTTAAATCATGCATTTCTTTTGTGCTTGTATTTCATGAATGAGGCCCGTACTGCTTGTGTATATGTGCTGTACACTGAAAATATGTGCGTGTGTCTATACACATAAATATTGGATTCATTCTAGAGATAAGGTATATTAACAGTTATAAATTTTGGAACGCTGATTAAGGACCACTAGATGTTTGTGTATTTGTAGCAGGAAAAAATGAAGCTAAGAGCATTTGGTGCTAAGTGATATTGTTTTGGGTCAGTTCATACGGCTGGCATGTCACATTCTTAGCATTTATGTATATATATCTACACAATGGCTGGTGCTAGTAGAAAGCGTGTATCAGTTGTGATGGCAGTGTGTTTTAAGCATCCTAATAGTTTTTCAAATGAAAGGCAGCCGCATTGTAGTATTACAGCCTGTATGGTTGTAAGCTATGTAAGAAAGCACCTATCTTGTACTGTATTTCACTGTTGATCTTGAACATGCCAGACAACCAAATTCAAGGCTGATCAGAAATAATGCAACTATTCCGTTTGATGAAATAGTAGTGCCATTCAGGGACAACTTGCAGATGTTTCAGTAGTTACATCTAATGTTGTTTTAACATCACAGTGGAATGTACCTTTTGTTAAGGTTAGCTTCACGCCCAGAATTTTCATAAGCTTCTTAAGCACTGATTTTTATAATCTGCTTTTTATAATAAGCCGGAGTCACAGAATTTAAGATGACTATAAAAAGTTGATTGTGCTTGGTTTACCTTTGTTTACTTAGATTCATATTGTGTAATCCGTTTTCAGCATTATAATTTGCTACCTTTAAATGATTTTAATTCAGATATTTTAATTTTGCTAAGATTTTCATTCATTTTGAAGTTTAATCTTAAAGAGGGAATTAACACGAATTGTGAGAACGTAATCTGCGTGTGTACCACCTAAACACAATTGGCCGTTTGTTACCATCCACTCAATGTTTGCTTGACTTTACCTGTGTATTTCAATTTTGGATAATGTAAACAAGGTAGTGCAAGGCAAGGTGCATGTAAATAAAGCTTGTACAACACAATGCGTTGCTGTAGTCTTTATTTTAATTTGTTGTAATACAAGCAGGTGATTTAAAGGAATAGTGCAACAAATTTACTTTTAGGTTGTTACTTAATTGGAACAGATTTGGAGAAATTTAGCATTATATCACTTGCTCACCAGTGGATCCTCTGCAGTGAATGGGTGCCGTCAGAATGAGAGTCCAAACAGCTGAATAAAAACATCACAATAATCCACACGACTCAGTTAATGTCTTGTGAAGTGAAAAGCTGTGTATTTGTAAGAATCCAACCACATTTTTGTTTACAGTTGTTTTGGACTGTTTCCTTTTGTAATTGGTGCTGGATCTGTGCATATTTCTCTCCTGATTCATATGAGACAACTTTTGCACTGGAAGGAGCAATGTTATGGATTATGGATTTATATTTTAGCTGGAAGCAAAGGTTGAAGTTAAAGGCACCCATTCACTGCAGAGGATCCATTGGTGAGCAAGTGATGTAATGCTAAATTTCTCCAAATCTGTTTAGATGAAGAAACTAACTCATCATTTTCATTTTTGGGCGAACTATTTCTTTAATGCCTGTTCATCTGTCCGGTCAAACTGATTACCAGATTGGAAAATATAATGCTTTTAAACCATTATTTGCATAATTGCAAACAACATGCAATGAGGTCTAAGGGTCAGTTGGCAAACACTCTTTCATCTATTTGATTTTAGTGGCACAGTTTTCTGTGGTTCATGAATGCACATAGAGTTAATTTAATGAAAACCCTGCTTACTCTCCAGGCCATACAGCTTTCATCTAAAATACTCTTTTTAAAAACAGAACAGGGTTCAAACTATAAATACTCTAGGTTATGAGGCTTGAAAAAGTACATTTTCAGCAGCTCATATTTGCTCAAACATGTATATTCAAATTTCTCACCCCATTTCATTAACCATCATTATTAAATGAATTATTTAATGCTTAACATTAGTTAATGTACATTTACATATTTAAAAATGTCATGGAACTTGATTCATTCGTATTTTGATATATACATATCACAATATGCGTTTTATGTGGAAGGAAAATTTTTGATAGTGACTTGTGTCATGTTTTCATAATGAATTATTCAAAAGTGTTTTCCCTCCTGATGTATCCAATAGACCAGAATATTATTTAAGGAATAGTTGATGAAGAAACTAACTCATCATTTTCATTTTTGGGCGAACTATTTCTTTAATGCCTGTTCATCTGTCCGGTCAAACTGATTACCAGATTGGAAAATATAATGCTTTTAAACCATTATTTGCATAATTGCAAACAACATGCAATGAGGTCTAAGGGTCAGTTGGCAAACACTCTTTCATCTATTTGATTTTAGTGGCACAGTTTTCTGTGGTTCATGAATGCACATAGAGTTAATTTAATGAAAACCCTGCTTACTCTCCAGGCCATACAGCTTTCATCTAAAATACTCTTTTTAAAAACAGAACAGGGTTCAAACTATAAATACTCTAGGTTATGAGGCTTGAAAAAGTACATTTTCAGCAGCTCATATTTGCTCAAACATGTATATTCAAATTTCTCACCCCATTTTCTTCCGGTTAAGCCTCAGTTTTGACACTTTAAAAATAACCTCAGAGCATGATGTTGCCATTACTGTTCTTGACAGTGAAAGTGATGCGACTGAGGTGTTTGGATTGCAAAAGCCTCATTTTCTCCTAAGGTTTTGTTACATGCTCTAACCACTTTCCCAAACTGACCAGGTCTGTGATGGCCTAAAGAGATGACTGGTGTCTGGATTCAGCCTAGCACTTCCAAGAAGGTTCAAACCTTTGCCAAGCCTTTTCTTTTTCTAGTTTTTCCTCCTATGAAGGGCGTCCAGATTGTCTATGGTTACCAAGGAGACCCGTCTTATGAAAATGTATGAAACGTTGACTCAGATAGAACCCCTGTTGTTGTTTGATTGCCGATATTTGTCCAAAATTAGTGTGTATTCATACACACGTAGCAATCACGCGCTCATTCATACGCGCTGCACAATCAGTGGGATTGATTGTGTTTTAAGAAAATCATTCATAATGTTTTACTGCTCTCTGCAGGGAGGAAAACAACCCCTAGTGACAATAGCTGTAAAATGTGCCCCGTGTCCTTGTGCACTCATTGGTGGGACAGCACCTTGTTGGGGATCTCTGATTGGCTATCGGCTCCTTTTGCCACGAACCAATCGGTGCTTCTGTATCCAAGTCAACTTGGATTGTCGAGCTATTTAAATCCAGAGAAGGTGGATCTGATTTATTGATTTTACATTGAAAATCGCCTGATTGAAAAGATTCTCGCTGTATGTTGAAAGTGACAACCATCTAAGTATTTTTTAAACAAAATATATATTTGATTTGCAGCATATTAACAACGCACGGCTTGCCTACCTCGGTCAACGGGAAGCTGTTTGAGGTCTTGCATTTAACATATAAGATCAGTATAAGAACTCTTTCATCTGAAATATAGTAAATAAAAAAGAAGAATATCTTGTTGATGACTTAAGGTATACCTTTGAGACAGGTCTGTACTCTGCTTGTGTCAGCACAATACAACTGAGTCACTTGACTGAGTTTTCATCGCCCTCTGCAGGTTAAAAGACGAATACATGCAGGTTCAAATATCTTCATTTGCCTTCAATATTATTTGCTGTACAGATGTAGTAACTTTTATATTTTTGTTTGTGCTAAAAAATAATAAAAGTGTCTAAAGGGATGCCAGTGGAATTCCTGTGATAATTTGGAACCAATCCAAACAAAAATAAAACAATTAAATAATACGACACTACTCATTTGATTTGTTTGACAGTTCTAATTTTGAGCCCTTAACTGTAGGCTATGTAACTTGCGCCAATCAAAGTTTAGATCTAAAGCTGTGATTTACCGCCATTCTTTAAAAGTGTGTGCGCGCGCGTCTGGCGTCTCTATAGCAACTGCTCAAACACTGATACATTGTAACAAACGTTTATACGGTGGAGACATTTTTAAAGTTCTTTTGTGTTTTCTTAATTTTTTCTATCCTTTGAACGCGCTGTATGTAGACTGCTCTACACGCAACTAATACACAACTGCAAGGACGGAACGACTCGGTGATTTTTTACGATAAAACTGGGATTGTGACTTGAAGATGTCACAGACATGTAGATTCGGCTCGTCAGTGAAAGTAGAGCAGCTGGAAGAAGAACTGTCTGCTCAGATTCAGGCTCTGAAAACTGAGATTGAGGACAATGAGATTTTACACCAAATATCATCAAAACCATACAGGTGCGATAGCTGATAGTGTTCTTAACTTTTATAACTTGAATAAATTTCATTAACCATCATTATTAAATGAATTATTTAATGCTTAACATTAGTTAATGTACATTTACATATTTAAAAATGTCATGGAACTTGATTCATTTGTATTTTGATATATACATATCACAATATGCATTTTATGTCGAAGGAAAATTTTTGATAGTGACCTGTGTCATGT